TTGAAAACTGGCTAATCAGAAGTTTTGTCAACAAATCTAGACCTTTTCCCTGGACATTTTTTTACCCAGGTTTGTTGCTTCAAAAGCCAGATAATTAAAAAGGCCTCATTAAGCTACTAACGAGAACACAATAAATAGTCTGACTCAGTCCAAGCAATAGTCAGCGACGCGCATTCGGTCACTTAGTCATCAAGTGCGTTAGCATATTTTCAAACTCTGGCAAAAGATATAGCTGGGGCACCTTCTATATCTTACTGGCGTCGCATTTCACATAACATAACGCCAGTAACGTGGGCATGCATATTCTAATTTTGCGGTCAACCAAGAATCATTTTCTCCTTAACAAATATGTTAAGGTAGATAGGCCTCATACCTTACATACAATATTGGCATCAAGCTTACTAAATACGACTTTAATACAGAGTCCTAGATAAACAAATTTGGTTTGAGCTAGGAATCACTCAATTTGACTGAAACAATGACGTTGATGCATAGGTTAATAAATACTTTTACTTTACGCGTTCTCATACAGATCGTGTGGGCGTCATATCTTTGTAAATAGTATGCAGCACGATGAGCTCCGTGCTCTTCAGAGCCATTCAGAGCCGATCTCGTGCTAAAAGCGTGAAAGCCTATAATTCTTCTCTTTTCCCCACGTTTTTTTTTACCGCATACGAGAGATGTAGAGATCCATGCGTGCGCTACTAGATTGTGAATAAATCAACCAAAAATCCACAATTTTATAAGAAACCGTGCTCTATAAGAGTGCAGTGGTAATCTTGTCTTGCCAGCTTAGGCTTGCAATTGTTTTACACCGGTTTGTGTAGCATAGCACCTGTAAAGTGTTGCGCTGCTAAGATAGAAGATGCTGCTTCAATTTCCTGCCAAAGTGACTCCCTTTTGAGCAGGAGTTAAATGCCAGAATACCCATGCGCTTAGACTTAGATGTTGGTTAAAAAAAATTACGCCATCTCCCGCTTAAGAGAACCATGTCTGGATGTGAAGCAGCGGGGGCCATGCTGAACGGCACCAACAGAAGCTCGTCTACGACGCCTTAGGCAGGTGCACCTGAAGTCTACCTCTACCTGACTAACGCTGCGGGTGACCGCTGCTGTGAACGCTGCCGGTGATCATGGCTATAACAGTGCTAAACAGCTGGTCCCTCAACACGTACGCCACAGACATCGAACGTGATCCCGTGCTAACCATAGCAGACCTGTTCTGTCTCGCGGAAACGTGGGATGCCACAAGACGGACGATCAACGGCTATACGAAGTGATCGTGTGTACTGAAGAAGCGTATCGTTGCCTTTGTCGCCGACTCGGGAGAGAGAGAGGGGAAGCGTAGGAGAGAGAGAGAGAGAGGATGCGCATGCGCAGTGCGGAGTGGATGCCGCGGGACTGAAGGAGGGAGGAACACATCCCCGGCATAGGATACTTCGCATGTAAAACCGTGTAGGCCAAAATTATTCCACAGTGCACCGGTACATCATGTCTCAAAATCGGACCATGATTTTGCACGAAAAATTGGGATTGCATTTAAGAATTTTGCCTTGGGGCCTCTTCGTTAAGTTTCAGGCTGAGTAAGTACTACCATCCATATCGTTCAATAGCGAAGCTGTTGTAGCTTGACGTAGTTTGCGCGGTGTTCCGAAAGACTCCGCAGGTGAGTTTGCGCCGTGGGAATCGGACAAGCCCCTCTGCCGAATACAGCAGGCACTAGCATTGAATGAACGCTACTAGCCGAAGTGAAGCATGTGAAACTCGTGAAAAAGACAGAAAGCGAGAGAAAAAGTACGACGAGAGAGAGAGAGAGAAAGAAAAGAGAACACAGAGCGAGAGAGAGAAAAAAAATGGAGAGGATAAAAGAAAATAAAAACATAGAAAAGAACAGAGAACAACACAAAAAGAAAAAAACACGAAAAAGAGTCAAGACAGGCAGATCACAGCAGAGGGAGAGAAGTAAAGATTAAAAGTAAGAAATACATAGAGAAAAATACAGAATCAAGCAGAGAACAAGAGAAGAAAGAAATGAAACAGAAAGCTATAGCGGCAAAAAAAAATTGAAAGAAAGAAACAGACAGATAAAAAATTATGCAAGAAACAGGTGAAAAAGAAAAAGAAAGGAAACAAAAAAAGCCAAGAAAGGCCACCCAGCTCCGCTGCCTATCCAGGCCTGCAGCATTACTAGTGCGAAGCTGATCAAATTTTCTTTGCTTGATCGCATAAATGAGTTGCCTTTTTCAGGAAGAATGTAGGTATGACCACTCTATCTGACTGTAAAAAAACGAGCGCTCAAAAAGGGCGCGCCGCCAAATTCTCGCGACGAAACGCCGGAAGGTTGCCTCGAGGTCAACGATAAAAAAAAGAAAACAAGCATCCAAAGACTCCCAAAGCGCGTCCCTCTCCCCTCGGAAGCGTGGGTTCGCCGCCGAACCTCCTCTCATCGGCGGCCGAGCAAGCCCAGGAACGTTCTCGATGGAAAGGGGCGTGGTGATGCAGGCTTGCGTCATCTTTCGCGGACGGCCCTCGTACCGTCTCGCCCTTTCCCCCAGCCTTCGCTGCGCATCGCGCCGACAAAATGATAAGAATTTTCTGGAATCTCGCGCGGAAGGTATTTAACCGAGCAACAGAGATAGGAGATCAGGAGAAGAAGGAAGTTAGCGCAAGTGTGCGTGGGGTATTCCGCCGCGCCTGTCGGTGAAGGTTTTGTCCTTAGTGACAAAGCAGGAGAAGAAGAAAGTATGCGCCAGAGTGCGTAGGGTGTTTCGCCTTGTGGGCGAAGCCTTTTGTCTTCCGTGACAAAGGAGGAGAAGAAGAGGATTTCCACCTGAGGGGTGAAGACTCGAGCTACAGGCAAGAATGTGTGTCTGCCGCTATCGAGCGAAGACGCGTGGCAACAGCTGCGCGTGGGAAGCCGACGTGTTTCCGGCGAAGAAGTTTGAAGCTTGGAGAGCGGCCAAGTGAAGAGGCGAGGTTTCCTGGAAGAGAAACTTCGGGGGCAGCGGAACGACAACAACGCTGGACTTTGAGTGAGTGATTCTCGCAAGAGTACCATCCAGACTTTTGTTCCAAGAACTTTGGACTGAATAAGTTTTCTAACTCTTTAGTCCTTTAAGTGTCTTGGTTGTTCGATGCATGCGACTGCATGTAGTGCGTGTTGTTGTCCTGTGTCCGTGTTTCGAGTGTGGCTGATTGTACTGTGTAGTACGTTGTTTGATTGGTGACATATTGTATTCAAGTATTGTCGAGTGTGCATACTTGTGTATCGTTTGATCTGCCGTAACTGAGAATATAATTTTGTTTTGTTTATCAATTCTCGGCTCTGACTTGTTTTTTGGGCCACAGCTGGCGTCTGCTGGCGCGCCAAATAGGACCACTTCTAACTGTCCACGCTTTCGTGGTGCGGTTCGGGGGGCCGATACTTCGGCCCTTGGAATTAGCCCGGCGATCGCCTCCCTAAATTACGGGGCCCGTGACACTGACTAACGCTGCCGGTGACCATCGCTTGATGCCGGCGACCGCTGCTGTGAACGCTGCAGGTGATCATGACTATAGCACTGCTAAACAGCTCGTCCCTCATCACGCACGCCAGAGACATCGAACGTGATCCAATGCTAACCATAGCAGTCCCGTTCTGTCTCACGGAAACGTGGGATGCCGCAAGACGGACGATCAACGGCTACGAAGTAATTGTGTGTACTGAAGAAGCGTGTCCTTGCTTTCGTCACCGACTCGGGAGAGAGAGGGGGAGTGTAGGAGAGAGAGAGGACGCGCATGCGCAGTGCGGAGTGGGCGCCGCGGGACTGTGGGAGGGAGGGACACATTCCCGGCATAAGCTACTTCGCATGTAAAACCGTGTAGGCCAGAATTATTCCGCAGTCTACCGGTACGTCGTGTCTCAAAATCGCACCGTGAATTTGCACGAAAAATCAGGATTGATTTTAGTAAGTTTGCCTTGGGGCCTCATCGTTGAGTTTCAGGCTGAGTAAGTACTACGATCCATATCGTTCAATAGCGAAGCTGCTGTAGCTCGACGTAGTTTTCGCGGTGTTCCGAAAGATTTCACAGGTGAGTTTGTGCCGCAGGAATCGGACAAGCACCACTACCGAGTACAGCAGGCACGAGCATTGAATAAACGCTACTTGCCGAAGTGAAGCACGTGAAACTCGTGAAAGAGACAGAAAGCGAGAGAAAAAGTACGAAGGGAGGGAGGGGAAAGAAAAAGAGAACACAGAGCGAGAGAGAAAAAAATGAAGAGGAAGAAGGAAATAAAAACATAAATAAGAACAGAGAACATCATAAAAAGAAAAACATGAAAAAGAGTCAAGAAAGAGAGATCACAACAGAAGGAGAGAAAGAAATATAAAAAGTAAGCAATACATATAAAGAGAAATATACAGAATGAAGCAGGAAAAAAGAGAAGAAAGAAATAAAAACAAAAAACCCAGATAAAATTGTGCAAGAAACACAGGAAAAGAAAAAAAAGAAAACACAAAAAAAAGAGCCAAGAAAGACCACCTAGCTCCGCTGCCTGCAGCATCACTAGTGCGAAGCTGTTCTAATGTTTTTTTTTTTGCTTGATCTCATAAATGAATGCCTTGTTCAGGAAGAATGTAGGCATTATCATTTTATAACTACTTCGGCGACATAGAAATACAAGTACCGTAATGGCTAGCTATTTCGTGGCGTTCAGCAACATTGGCAGAAATCATGCACGTAGGCTCAGTGGTCTCGCCGAACTTCAGCGTTTTCTTCAAATATCGCACTGGTAACTACTCGCACCCACACTTTAATAAATAAACCTAGCATTTTGTCCAGCGTTGTTGTTACCGGCCGGTGTTATTTTATATAAAAAAACACAAAGACAGGCCCCTATTGGCTTATCATCCTCCGTAGTGGGTAGGTACCACTGCTGGCAATGTAGAAGAAGAGTAATGGCGAGGTCGGTGCTGTTGGCTTTCGCTTTTATGCACGAGTACCGACGCGTGGGTAGCCAGCATGTGGAAGGTTTACAGCGGGTGAGTGCGGAGTCTTGCAAGTCAAAAATCACCCGCAGCCTTACACTGTAGAGCACACGGTTTTTATCAAGACCGCGACGTCCGCAGAACTGTTTGGAGTCAACGTGCAAAAAACCAACCATAGTAGATTTCACACTGGTATAGTGGCAACGTGATCAGAAATGACACCACTTCTCCCACCGCGATCAGTTCAAAAATGTAGTGAGTGCCGGGCTTGTCGATCAAATTAATACATTTTTATGGCCCGGCTGTATGCCTGTGCGTGCCACATTGCGTCCAATGGATGGCATACTAATGGGAACGAACTACGTGAACGGCCGGCTCTTGTGACGATTTTATATAGCACTTCAACCAGTATTCAAACAATAGCTGAAGTCACTTACTGCAATGTTTCAGCATTGACGCATCCGTCGGCCCGTGGCTGTCGTTAAAGATAGCTACGTACAAGCCACGAGTCACACTCATTCGCGCGATGCGCAAACGACATTGAATGAAATTTTCTAAAGCATGGTGATGCAAACTTCTACGCAGTGAGAGCGAATCTCACGCTGACGGCCACCTTGTCGACGTGGGCGGCCCGCTGTTCCTGACGCCGCTCATCGACGCGGGCTTACTGGACAAGGCGCGACAGCAGAGCCGCGTCGGCCGGCTACTGGACGATCCCAAGGACGCCGAGCTGTTTCCCAGTTACGCGGGTTTCCTCACCGTCGACAAAGAGATGTCGAGCAACATCTTCTTCTGGTTCTTTCCAGCCAAGGTAAAGCGCTCTGCTACCATGCGCCGTGTGCTCGTTCTCCGCTATCACGATGTCGACTTCACTTGTGGTATTTCAGGGCACTCGTTCCTTGTAGCGATTGACGCAACGTTACCGGATCATTGAGAAAGACGCTTCAACGTTCTGGCAATGCTTGCTATGCGTACATGCGTCCGTCTGTGCATCCGCCTCTGCGTCCGTCTATGCGTCCATGCGTCCGTCTGTCTGCGCGTCCATCCAACCGTCCGTCTGCTTGTCTGTCTGCGCGCACGTCCATCCGTTCGTCCATCCATCTAGTGAACACTCCAAGTACCACCACCTCGCATCTTTTCATCATATATTCATCATGTAGAAGTACCGTTACCCAATGAACATTCCAAGAAATAAACGAGTGGTGGCTACCTACTACTACTACTCCTACTATTACTACTATTACTACTACTATTACTACTAATACTAATACTACTACAACTACTACTACAACAACATTAATTTTTGAAGCCAACTAAATAATCGTTCCCTCTTTCCTCGAGAAATGATGCCGGATACCCAAAATGACTACGCCTTCAACCCAAATTCACGGCCACTGGATGATTGGGGCATTGCGGTCTGATTAGCTACCGAGGCCGCCGCGGAAGCCGCCAAGTGCGTGTGCGCTCGACCGCGATCGCACTGAATATACGCTGCGCGTTCGAAGAAGAAAAAAAAAAAGGGCTCAAGGTCATGACGTGTGCGTGACGTATCTTCTTTTTTCCCCGTGCCATCCTTCCTCGCTTCAATTCCAGCACGTTGGTCGGGTCGAGAGAAGAGAGAGCGCGCGAAAATTTTCCAACACTGGTCGTACTTGACTGATTCTAATTTTTTTCCGGTGGTCGATTTGTTAGGTAATAATATATTTAGCGAAGCCATGCAACGGTTACTCGGAAAAGTGTTGCAGGGCCATGGGCGCAGCAAAGAGGGGGAAGGGGTGTTGAGGGGTGTTCAAGTTTCCCCGATAGTTCTCAATTTTGCCTGAGTATATATACACGCGCACTGAAACGCACGCACGAACATAAAGTATGATTGAAGTGAAGGTTGAACCTTTTACCCCCCAAACCAAAAAACAAAAATGGCGACGCTACTGTGCAGGTCCCCATTAAAGCAGTAGCTGATGCAGCAGTTATAAACAGCAATGTATCCACTCTACCTGGTAATCGACCTCGTTCATTCATGTCGAGTAGCCGTACGTCAGTGCCTGACCTACTCTACCGCGGTGACCCAGCGTAACGCCCATAGAAGCGAGTGGTCGCGAATAACGAGTCGTAACTCGTCCCCCATGAGCACAATTCATCTGCAGGAGAAGCCGGACACTGCCCCCGTGATTATGTGGCTTCAGGGAGGGCCGGGCGGATCATCTCTGTTCGGCCTATTCCTGGAACACGGGCCGTACCGCGTCGTCGAGAATGGTACCGCTCGGCTGCGAAACACCACGTGGGCGCAACGCTACTCGATGCTGTACGTGGACAGTCCCGTTGGCGCCGGTTTCAGTTTCACTTGGAACGAGCGTGGCTACTCCCGGGACCAGCGGAGCTTGGCACGAGATTTGCACGAGGCCCTCCAGCAATTCTTCACGCTTTTTCCACGCTTTGCAAAGAACGATTTTTACGTCGCGGGGGAGTCGTACGCAGGTACGGTGACACGCCACCATAGCTTGCGTTGCAAGCCTCTTTTTAACATCTAGGATTGCAGTCTACTTTTAGACAACCGCGGATGGACTGGGCCTGAACTCTTTCCAGTTGTAACCATCCAAGTGTGCGCGGTGAACGCTGACATGTGCATGCGTGTATCACTTGTTCTTTTTACGGGCGAAGCTCCTTATGGCGTGGCTTGGGCGTCCCTCGTATGTAACCACCAGTGGCACATACCCGAAATAGGTATAACACTTGACCTCCAAGGTGGTGCCAGTGAGAGATTTCTTCTGTGCGTTGTTTAACAATAAAAAATAGTGCTCAATGTACATGCCAATGGCTGCTAATGGGGAATGAGAGACATGAGCATTCGGCTTTTAGTTAACGCGCACGCTGCGATCCCCATTAGCAGCCATTGGCATGTACATTGAGCACTATCGGACAAGAAAGGGATGCTACATTATACTCGCTGGGTGTAACCTCCTTAGCTTTAGAAAGGTTTAGCGAGCGTTGAGTCGCAGTGCCATGAATACAATGAACTTGTATATACCATGAATGAACTCAAGGTGGTTAAAAATGAGAAGTAGATACGAAGCGCAAGCCGTAAGAAAGTAAAAGCCGAATTCTCCTGTCTCTCATTTCTCATTAGCAGCCATTGGCATGTAAATTGAGCCCTATCTGACAGGGAAAGGTTGCTACGTTATACTCGCTGGGCGTAACCTCCTTGGTTTTCGAAAGGTTTAGCGAGCGTTTGGTCGCAGTGACATGAATACAGTGAACTAGAATATACCATGAACTCGAGGTGGTTAAAGGTGGGAAGTGGACCCAAAGCGCAGGCCGTAAGAAAGTGTGCGTGTGCCACCTCTCGTTTTGTCCTTGGAATGTCCGCTGGATGGCGGTGCTTCTATATGGGGAATATATGATAAAAAGATGCGAGATGGTGGGACTTGGAGTGTTGAATAGATGAACGAACGGACACACAAACAGATGCATGGATGGACGCATGAACGGACGCAGGGGCGGATGCATGAAAGAACGCAGGGACGGGCGCACAAACAGACGCATGGACGGTCACACAGACGGACGCATGAACGGACGAATGCTTCGCCCCACTCTCCATCATTCACTCCGTGGATATGCTGCCATTTTTTTCCCTTCTCTATTCTTTCCCTCCACTTCACCTCTTCTCACGTGTAGGGTAGCAAACCAGATACCCTATGGTTAACCTCCCTGTCTTTCCTTTGTTTCTCTCTCTCTCACTCTCTCTCTCTCTCTACGGTGCATACATGTCTTCGTAGCCCCTATCGTAACTGATCTTTCGACAAGCTGTGAGAGCAAGAAACGTGACACGACACACGTTTTCGGGGAAAAAGAAAAAGAAATTGACAACAGTGGTAAATCCATTAAAAACGGCCACCATCACTCACGTAGGATAGCCCCACAGTGGTGGTCTAGTGGCTAAGGTACTCGGCTACTGACCCGCAGGTCGCGGGTTCGAATCCCAGCTGCGGCGGCTGCATTTGCGATGGAGGCGGAAATGTTGTAGGCACGTGTGCTCAGATTTGGGTGCACGTTAAAGAACACCAGGCGGTCGAAATTTCTGTAGCCCTCCACTACAGCGTCGCTTATGATCATAATCATATGGTGGTTTTGGGACGTTAAACCCCACATATCAATCAATCACGTAGGATGATATCGTGTATATAATGACTTCAACATGGCTGCCGTTCTTGCATAGTAGGCTGTTGAGAAGCTGCACCCGTGTGTCCCATGTAATAGCTACATAGCGTTTCTAGCTGAATGAAGACATGAAGCATTGCTGCGGACGAGACATCCCCACTGACATACTAATTTATCCCGGCTTCGTCCTTCCTCCTCCCCTAGTGACTGCTGAAACATCGAAAGGCGCATATCACTCCCACCTCCGATGTGTCCTTGCTAAAAATTCCTGGGTAATGGATGAAAAAATTTCAGAAGGAATTATGTTCAATGATGTCACGCTTCTAGAAGTAGTTTTCAGTAACTACCTGGGGAAATGTTTTGTCACATAGACGCAAGATGAGTACCTTATTCAAACTTTACCAAGTAACGTTGTCTATTTAACATTTTCTAGGACGTCAGTAATATGTCTCTTGTATGAATCTATTCTAATTGATTTGCGGGACCTTTACTCTTAGCATTTTTTGTCGACAAACACGTGTTAGTTTCATAAAATACCCAGCCAAAATCATCTCCAATGGATGCCGATATCTCTTCTTTAGCACCTATAGTTACGGAGTGTCACAGAACGAGCGCTCAAAAGGAGCGCGCCGCCAACTCCTCGCGACGAAACGCCGGAGTGACGCCGCGAGGTCAACGATAAAAGAAAAAGAAAAAAAAGAAAACAAACATCTAAAGGCTCCCCGGACGCGCGAGCCTCTCCTCTCGGGAGCGTGGCTTCGCCGACGAACCTCCTCACCCCACAACGGCGGCCGAGCAAGCACTGGAAATTTCTAGATGGAAAGGGGCGTGTTATGCCGGGTTGCGTCATCTGTCGGGGACGGCCCTCGTACAGTCTCGCGCCTTCCCCCAGCCTTCGCTGCGTATCGCGCCGACGAAATGACGAGAACCTTCTGGAATCTCACGCGGAAGGTATTTAATCGAGCAGCCGAGACGAAAAATCAGGAGAAGACGGAAGTTAGCGCCAGAGTGCGGAGGAATTCCGCCGTGTAGTCGGCGAAGGTTTTGTCCGTAGGGACAAAGCAGGAGAAGACGTGAGGTTTCCTGGAAGAGAAACTTTGGAGGAGAAGACGGAAGTTAGCGCCAGAGCGCGTAGGGTATCCCGCCGTGTAGTCGGCGAAGGTTTTGTCCGTAGGGACAAAGCAGGAGAAGAGGATTTTCACCTGAGGGGTGAAGGCTCGAGCTGCAGGCAAGAGCGTGTGTTTACCGCTATCGAGCGAAGACGCGTGGCAACAGCTGCGTGTGTGAAGCCGACGTGTTTCCGGCGAAGAAGTTTGAAGCTTGAAGAGTGGCCAATTGAAGACGCGAGGTTTCCTGGAAGAGAAACTTCGGCGATGTTTCCTGGAAGAGAAACTTCGAGGGCAGCGGAACGACAACAACGCTGGACTTTGAGTGAGTGATTCTCGGAAGAGTATCATCCAGACGTTTGTTCCAAGAACTTTGGACTGAATAGGTTTCCTATCTCTTTAGACTTTAAGTGTCTTGGTCGTTCAATGCATGCGACTGCATTGTAGTGCGTATTGTTGTCTGTGTCCGTTGTTGCGAGTGTGGCTGATTGTGTTGTGTAGTACGTTGTTTGATTGGCGACATATTGTATTCAACTATTTTGGAGTGTGCATACTTGTGTATGGGTTTTGATCTGCCCTTTTTGAGAATATAATTTTTGTTTTGTTTATCAACTCTCGGTTCTGACTTGTTCTTTGGGCCACAGCCGGCGTCCGCTGGCGCGCCAAAAAGGACCACTTCTACATTGTCCACGCTTTCGTGGTGCGGTTCGGGGAGCCGATACTTCGGCCCTTGGAATTAGCCCGGCGATCGCCTCCCTAATTAAGAGGACCAGTGTGACAATTATTCTGGCGTCCGCGACACAGGACCTTTTGGTGCACAGTGTGTCCAAAGTAGTGAGAAAGAGCCTCGAGTTGTTGATAGTGCTATCGGAACGATTTTGTGTGTTGTTCAGTGTTCTCGTTAACGAGTGCAGGGGAGTGTTCCGATAGACTGATTTAGGCAGATACTTTTTATACGCGGCAAGACTTTATTTGTAAGACACCACGGATCTCTTAGTTGCTCTTGGTGAGAAGATGGGTCTTTTTGGCGCCGAACTACGGAAATGGGTAAGCCAGAAGGAGAAAGAGGCGGTGGAGAGAGAGAGAGGTTGGCAGCTGAGAGAGCCAAGGAAGAAAAAGCAGCTGAGTTGGAACGAGAGAGGTTGGCAGCCGAAAGGGCGAGAGAAGAAAGAGAAGCGAGGGAGCGACAGCTGAAAAAAGAAAGAGAAGCGAGGGAGCGACAGCTGAAGGAAGAAAGAGAAGCGAGGGAGCGACAGCTGAAGGAAGAAAGAGAAGCGAGGGAGCGACAGCTGAAAGAAGAAAGAGAAGCGGAGATGGCTGAAAGGGAACGGCAGCGGCAGCACGAGATGGAACTCGAGCGGCTCCGTTTGCAACAACGAATTGAAACTCCCGTCCAAGCTAGAGTTGAAAGCAGCGAACGGGCAGATCATGGCTTCCGCTTGAACCCAAGCAAGCTGCTCGTAGCATTTGATGAGAGGAAGGACGACCTTGACGCGTACCTTCACAGATTTGAGACGATTGCAAGGAGCCAGAATTGGCCGGAACATCAATGGGCAACTGCTTTGAGTACCTGCTTGAGTGGTGAAGCGCTCAGTGTGTACGGTAGGCTGACGCCGACCGATGCAGCCAACTATACAAAGGTGAAAACTGCTTTGCTGAAGCGAGTTAGATTTACTGTAGAAGGTTTCCGGGACAGATTTCGGACAGGAAAGCCAGCTGATGGTGAGACGGCTACGCAGTATGCCGCCCGACTTTGCCATTATTTCGACAGATGGATTGAACTTTCAGGGACAGCGCAGGAGTACGATGAACTTAGAGAGCTCCTAATTAGAGAACAATTTCTTACTAGTTGCCACCCAAGCCTGTCGCAGTACTTGAAAGAGAGGGAGGCTGAGTCACTTGAAGGAATGCTTGAATTGGCTGATCAATTTTTGGAAGCGCAAGGTGGAACTAATTTGGCCAAGGTCAAGAAGGATTGTCCCGATGATTCGAAGAAATTGGCTCCCGAAGAAAAGAAGCGTGCTACAGAGAGCATTCCGCGATGTTTTCTGTGCAACCGAGTGGGTCATCGCGCGAAAAACTGTCGAACGATCTTTACGAGCCCTACGGCAGTAAAATGTTTTAAGTGTGGTCAGACTGGGCACAAAGCAGACGCATGTCGAAACGGAGCGAGTGAAACTCACCAGGTGTCCTGTGTGCTAGCAGCACCGAAATCCGATGATAAGGCCGTCACAGATGGATTCGTAGAGTTGAAAAGTGGGGAGAAAATTCCTATTGTGGGTGCGGTAATGTCAAAACAACCAACCGGTGTTTCGAAGGGAATGCCAACGCTGCCCGGAAAAGTGGCAGACAAAAGGATTACGGTGTTAAGAGATACCGGCAGCTCCACTGTTATCGTGCGGAGAAATCTGGTACGGGAAAGTGAGTTAACAGGCAAAATGAAACCGGTTTGCCTAATTGACCGTACGGTTCGGATGCTTCCCGAAGCAGAAATTGAGGTGGAAACCCCGTACTTCAGCGGGAAGGTTACTGCTTTATGCATGGCGACCCCCCTGTACGACCTTGTCATCGGAAACATCGACGGGGCGCGAGGACCAAATGATCCAGAATGCTTGGTAGAAGACCCTAAGATAGAGCCCTCGCCAACCCAGTGACCGCGAGATACAGTGGAGGAGCAGCCCGTGACGGATCTCACTAGAGCCCAAGGTGAAGCCGCGGCGCAAGAGACAGTGAATGAGAAGATGATCGTGTTGAATGAGTTCACGGGCCGAGCAACTGGACTTACGTCGGCACGACCTCAACCGACCGACAGTGTAAAGGAGACGGAGTTGGCCAGCCGGGCAAAATGTAGAGACATGATCAAGCTGGTAAATAAACAGACAGGACCCGTCGAATGTTATGACCCGTTAACGGTGTCGGAAGTGACAACGATGGCTGAGACGCCGCCTCAGATACCGTCGTTGGAAGGGGCTCGCCGGAACAAAACGAGCAAAAACAATAAGAAGAGATCGAGCGAGCACCGCAAGAAAGGGCGCAAGCGCCGGTCGAAATGCACAGGATAAGTGTCGAAGTCGATTCAGAATGTGTTTGGCAGTGCTGAGTGCCATATGTTGTGTTAGTGCTGTGTTATCCTGTGTCACAAGTGTCGAAGTGTCTGTGCTGTGATGTGATGTATAGTGTTGTATAATTGTTGTAAAGACAGAACCTTGTACGTTTGTATTGTTTGGAATGTGTGATGAAGCGTTCTACCCATGTACCTGCGGTTATATTTCATGTGTGTGAGATTGAATATTAATGTCCAATTGTATTGAGTGATATATTGTGAATGTGACGTGTCATGAGCGACGGACTATGTTACAGTCTTTGAGAGTGTGTGGTGACTGTTCGCGCTCGTTTGTGTGGTTTTGAATATTATGAGATAATATTCTTAAAGTGGGGGGCAGTGTCACAGAACGAGTGCTCAAAAGGAGCGCGCCGCCAACTCCTCGCGACGAAACGCCGGAGTGACGCGTTTCGATAAAAGAAAAAGAAAGAAAAGAAAACAAACATCTAAAGGCTCCCCGGACGCGCGAGCCTCTCCTCTCGGGAGCGTGGCTCCGCCGACGAACCTCCTCACCCCACAACGGCGGCCGAGCAAGCACTGCAAATTTCTAGAAGGAAAGGGGCGTGTTATGCCGGGCTGCGTCATCTGTCGGGGATGGCCCTCGTACAGTCTCGCGCCTTCTCCCAGCCTTCGCTGCGTATCGCGCCGACGAAATGACGAGAACCTTCTGTAATCTCGCGCGGGAGGTATTTAATCGAGCAGCCGAGACGAAAGATCAGGAGAAGACGGAAGTTAGCGCCAGAGTGCGTAGGGATTCCGCCGTGTAGTCGGCGAAGGTTTTGTCCGTAGGGACAAAGCAGGAGAAGACGTAAGTTAGCGCCAGAGCGCATAGGGTATCCCGCCGTGTAGTTGGCGAAGGTTTTGTCCGTAGGGACAAAGCAGGAGAAGACGTGAGGTTTCCTGGAAGAGAAACTTCGGAGGAGAAGACGGAAGTTAGCGCCAGAGCGCGTAGGGTAACCCGCCGTGTAGTCGGCGAAGGTTTTGTCCGTAGGGACAAAGCAGGAGAAGAAGATGATTTCCACCTGAGGGGTGACGACTCGAGCTACAGGCAAGAGTGTGTGTTTTCTGCTATCGAGCGAAGACGTGTGGCAACAGCTGCGTGTGTGAAGCCGACGTGTTTCCGGCGAAGAAGTTTGGAGCTTGGAGAGTGGCCAATTGAAGACGTGAGGTTTTCTGGAAGAGAAACTTCGGCAAGGTTTCCTGGAAGAGAAACTTCGGGGGCAGCAGAACGACAACAACGCTGGACTTTGAGTGAGTGATTCCCGGAAGAGTATCATCAAGACTTTTGTTCCAAGAACTTTGGACTGAATAGGTTTCCTATCTCTTTAGTCTTTAAGTGTCTTGGTTGTTCAATGCATGTGACTGCATTGTAGTGCGTATTGTTGTCTGTGTCCGTTGTTGCGAGTGTGGCTGTTGTGTTGTGTAGTACGTTGTTTGATTGGCGACATATTGTATTCAACTATTGTGGAGTGTGTATACTTGTGTATGGGTTTTGATCTGCCCTTCTTGAGAATATAATTTTTGTTTTGTTTATCAACACTCGGCTCTGACTTGTTCTTTGGGCCACAGCCGGCGTCCGCTGGCGCGCCAAAAAGGACCACTTCTACATTGTCCACGCTTTCGTGGTGCGGTTCGGCGGGCCGATACTTCGGCCCTTGGAATTAGCCCGGTCATTGCCTCCCTAATTAACGGGACCGGCGTGACATGGAGTCATGCATTTAATGCATTCTTCAGTGAGAAAATTGGAATTAATTGTCTCCCAGGCAATCCCGAAAAATACGGCCATACGTAGTAAGTGCAAAATACTTAGTACCGATCCGCGTTATTTCTATGAAGGGCTTGAGCTCCATTCCTAATGGAATATCTAGATTATCCAGTTATTGTCCAGGAGGAGCAGTTCGCAGTCATTTCCGGATAAATGTTCACATCATTCTAATTACAACTCTGTGAATGCTTCTAAAATGCACAAACTCACCAGACAACCATTCAAGCTGTGCATTGACTCTACTAACTTACTGAGAGTTTCAACCACTGTAGACCTACTTGACACACGACCGATGCTCGAAACGATTTCTCGTTGCAGGCAAATACGCAACCACCGTCGCGCACCTCATCGCCACCAACCTTTTCTCGCGAGTTGACATCAAACTGCGCGGGATCGCCGTTGGCAATGCCTGGCTGGACCCAGAGACGATGTTAGACTACGCTCAGTTCCTTTACCACATCGGCCTCGTGGACCGAAGGCAGGCGGACCACATCCAACGGAAGACTGAAAGGGCGGTCGAACTCGCCAGACACGGTCGATTCGCAGACGCATTCGAGGTGATGGACCATTTGCTGGAGGGTTTGGAGGCGTCCACTTCATACTTCAAGAACGTCAGTGGCATCTCTACGCCCTACAACTTCGTGCAGGCCGAGGACAGGATGCGCCGAGACTTAGAACTGTACAGTAGTAGAGTCGGCATGGCGTATGTGCAGCCCATAAAATCGACTGCACGTGGTGTCGACAGAGAGTACATATACACCGCGCTTCGTGGTTTGAATTGCTGAGTGACAACAGTACCTTTAAAAGCAGTCGGAAAGTTGCAGAAATATCATCATAGAAGGAAATAATAACGACTTTATTCTGGCTTGACATTTGAGCCGCATAACGCGCATCTATAAAAAACTCCGTGAGGCCATTTCACAAAGAAGTTATAAATTTTATTAAACGAAAACATAAGTAAGCGTTTTATTGTACTGCAACACAATTTGTTCTAGAAGGGACGCGTAGAGTTGAACCAGCTCACTCGTACAATGGTACACGTGCCTCCATGAAGTCAGGCGCCTTTGTATATTTAGGTTTAGGGACAAAAAGGGTAAATAACCCCATGAAGTGCTGCTTTAGAAGTTCAACTCAACGATTAAATGAATCAATCAATCAATGCAATCAATCAATCAATCAATCAATCAATCAATCAATCAATCAATCGGAGGCATTACTTTCTTGCACCCTGCTGATCACTTTTAATAGCTGTGCTTCTGTGTTGCTTGTTAGAAAAACCAAGGCCACACACCGTAACAATACATCTAACCTCGCGAACTTTATCATCGTAGTCTCTTCATTCTAATCAGATCTTTATTTATTCAATGTATTTCCTTTCTTCTTTTTTGTTGGACTGAGTCTGGCTCCTTAGGAGCTGCAGAGCATATCGCCACTTTCTTCTTCCGACAACAACGCTTCAGGTCATTCGTGAGAACGCACGAGTTCCGGAGGGCCGTGCACGTCGGAAACGTGGCGTTCAACAGCGGCCGCGAAGCGGCGTCGAATCTCCTGGTCGACGTGATGCGGTCCGTGAAGCCCTCGTTCCTATCGCTTCTCGAGAGGGACTTCAAGGTGCTCGTCTACAGCGGCCAGCTGGACGCGGTCGTGCCCCACTCGCTCGCCGTCGACTTCCTCAGCGGCCTGCAGTGGTCGGGAACCGAGTACTTCGACGCGGCCCGGCGGAAGGTGTGGAGGCTCCCGACGTCGGGCTCAGGCGTCGCTGGCTACGTCAAGAGAGCCGGCAACCTGCTCCAAGTGATGGTCAGGGACGCGGGACATTTCGTGCCGTACGACCAACCGGAAGCGGCGTTGGACATGATGTCGAGGTTCATAGACGGCACATCGTTCGAAGAGCGCGCTGCCGCGTCTGGGAAGGGACGCACGCGATTGCACGATCGTTGAGCGCATCTGTGCGCGTTCCTTATCGCTCTACTTATACAGCCAAAGCGGATTTCAGAAACGGTAAATCTGAAAAATCAAGGGGTCTCACGTGGAAGCCAAATCGCTGAATAATAATAAGGGATGGACGATTTATTAATTTTTCAATAACCCATTCTTCAGTGCACGCAGAATTATGTGCTACTATTATTGTGTGGTTGTGGAAGTTGTGAAAATGATAAAGAAAGTAACAAATAACTTACTTTCTGCCAACGAATATTCGTATAGACACTGTATTTATATAATACGCGATAATGCTTGGTCTTCGGCGAACAGGTTCTATCAATATATGCTCACTGGTATACGTGTGGTACTGCTGTGGTAAATGGTTTCCGAAAACTGTGCAGTGCTTCTCTTTGTCCAGACGCAATAGTAGCTACAACCACGTGAATCTGGGTCACATCAATCGTATCCTACGTTTACAAAACACATGCACGATCACATAAAAAAATGAAGTGGATATATCCTCATAGGAATCGCTAAAACACTAAAGTAAAGCATGTCTTCACAGACGTGGTTGAGTGAATATTGTACATTTTGTGCCACAAAGGTGAAGGAATGAATGCCATAACAACAAATTGTAATGTCACGTGAAATAAAGGCGAGAAGCTCGAAACTTGCAGCTCTCTATTTAAGCAGAAAGGTGGCACGAAAAGAACGTGCATAATACGAGCATGAACAACTGTCACAGCCAGATACCTAGAGCACTTTGCTCAAACACAAAGAAGTAGGCACGAAACGAGCACTAAAGCATACACAGGACTAGCGCGGCCTGACAACAATATCTGGGGTTTAACGTCTCAAAACTGCGATATGATTGTCACAGACGCCACTGTATACTCGGGAAATTTCTACCTGCACCTAAATCTAACTACACGAGCGAGCGCAAACTAAGAACTGCCCCAGTACGAGCAGGGAGCTTATTTCGCAAACGCAGCCACTCCAACGAGCGATGTGACCTTCCTGTTCTCCGATATTTCGCGGCGCCAGCACAAGACTTGTACAAAGCGCTGCCATCACGAAATATGCGAGCGCGTTTCGCAACGCGCGCAGGTATACGCATCCCGCCTGTCGCGTAATAACGTTAGTATAACGAAAACGCGCTGAAGTTACCGACAGTAACTGGTGTATGTAAACAGCTGACCATTAGTACTCCGAGGAGTGAGAGAGTAACAATTAACTTTATTTATTAAGGGGTGTGGGGGTAATGGTATACGTACGGTGACAGGCCATGCTTCTCGATGGTGTCCTCCGCTCTTGCCAGAACCCGTGCCTTGACGTCTGTGCTGAAAAGAAGCGGCTCACATTGCAGGCCAATTAAAAGGAGATGGGTGGAGAGACGAAGTTGGTGGGTGGCACGTCCTCCGGGCAAGCCCAGGGGATGGTTGAGCGATGCAATGCCTCCACACAGACAACAGCGTCAATCGATAATGCCCGGGTGGATGTAGGAGTGCACAAGGGGACATGGAAAGGTGCGGGTCTGCAGTCGGTACCGGGCGATCTGGGACCTCTGAGGAAGGCTACCGTGAGGGGGTGGGTATAGGCGTACCGTTCAAGGCGGTTGTGTTGGGTGATGTCATTGTAGGGGACCAGAAGTTCCGGCACCAGGCGTACGACTCAGAAGAGCCCACCACTTGGTTGACGAGCGTGTTGGTGAGCCGACTCGTTGCCCGAGTGACCCAAGTGGGCGGGGAACCAGACCAGTTCAATAAGACGTGGTTCGTCCCGCATCAAGAGCAGGCAAAGGAGCCGCAATACGGTAGGCGAAACAAGGCGTCGGGCGAAGTTCGAGATGGCCAACTTGGAATCGCTTCGAGGAGCATACGGTCGTGACCGCGGGTCGTTTCTTGCCGCCGCGAGGGAGCCAGAGGTCGTAGGCTCCATTCCCGGTGGCGAAAGCTTTCTTGTTAGTCTTTTTTTTTTTTGCCATTTGTCAGGATATATTTTGCAACGTCATATCCATAACAGAAATACATGAGTGGGTTCGTGGTGTACCCGGCATTAAACACTTTCGTGTTAAAAGTGAACTTCATGTGACAGCAAAGCAATAGGCATTTGCTCCATAAAAGAAAATGGTTAAAATTCTGGCGTCTCTTTGTCCTATAACCATTACGTATACGAAATGCCGCCTCTTGAATGGTCGACAACGATGTTACTAATGGTGAAAATTACAAGTAGGTTAAAGTTTTGCACTTGTTCTGCAGAAGTAATTTATTTATTTATTTATTTATTTATTTATTTATTTCTGGCCTTAGCCGTGATTGACACTTTTCTTGAAGACTTCTTAGTAGTAACGCTTTCTGTGTTGCAGCGCAGCGTGCGTATAGCTGAATATTTTAAAAAGAGTAATGCATGGCTCACTGAAATAGTACTCAGACTGTAGTCTATGGTATGTTTATCGCATTCTGTCATTCATATATACCTGGTTTTGCATTTACGGGTGCCATTGGGACATCGCACATGTCTTTGAATAATCGCTCACAATGATATTCATGATTCTGTCATATATATGAACGATAAATTGAAGGATCTACAAAGAAAAACTCCTCAGCCTTCATTTGACGCTTAACCTTTGACGTTCACTTCAGATTTTCGATTACATGTTTTTTTTTTTTGACAGATGAATCACACGTGAACTTGTTGGTAACGAAGATGGAGCACAAACTCACGATTTTGAACGTGTGTGGCTTGTAACCAACAAATGAGCAGCGAGGCTCGTAAGTGAATTAACACAACGCATCTACCAATGTTTGATCCAGGCCCATTAGTTGACATGCAGGTGTGCCCTTTAGAAAGGGCGTGCGTAATGCTGCAGTGTGATTTCGTAGAAGTTGACTCAGCTATTATGAATTCGAGACGCATCGGCTCCGCCTTCTGCTATACTTCTTGCTGGTTTGCCGAGTTCAATCTTCCCTAATTTTATCACCAATGTTTCCGCTAAGTTTCGGGAGAACACCCGGATGCCAATTTCGGCCCAGGCCACCCCACTTTTCTTCCCTCTCCAACCAATGTTTCGCCTTCACTTGCTAAGCTTCGAGTAGGCTTAACACTGATTACAGACTCCTGCGCCGGCGCGTCCCGCCGCTGCGCAGTCATCATGACCGAAGCCATGGTGGATGGAGAAACGATCACTGAAGAGGAAGCCAGCGCGCCTGGCTGGATCGATGCTATCGGACGTCGAGCAAAGTCTTGAACTAGTATACCACCGGCAAGCCAGCCGGCGTCCGTATTGGCGCCCTGCGAACCGGAGCTGTGACGAGGGTTGCAGCCGCCAGCCGCCTCCCCCCGCTCCCAACGGATCACCACCGTGTCATCGTCCGCCCCGGAGGTGGCCTGGATGTACAGGTGCGATCAAAAGTGTGCAGACCACTGGGATCGCGTGGCAGAATGCATCGACGCGCCAGCTAGCGACGAGACACGACGAGACACCTGCTGCAGGGCGCCATGCGCATACCGTCCTTATCACTTGGCTTCTCTTGTCGCTCTGTTGGACGCGATTACGGCGCGCGCAGCCAAAACGACAACTGGGTGTCGCTTTCTTTGCTCCATCGAATCTGCGCCGTTACTTTACGTAGCGGCTGCGACGGGACCGGTTCAAGCACCGGCTCGCGTTGTTATTGACACCGGTTGATAATGATAAGCAAGTATAGCGAGCATTGCAGAACCTGACGGAGCCAAATGAACAAAATTAAATTTTGTCAGGCCAGCTTGCATTTGTCGGGATAATCTAAGTTGCACCTAAATGAGCTTAGTTAAGTCAAAGTTAATGTAGTCCAAAATTAAAATGTGGTCAAGCACCTTATGACCTAAATAATTCAGGCGTTAGTAGGTTTAGTTTAGCCCAGTCCAGCTTGGTGTTTTCTAAGAGAATTTAGGGTTAAATGAGCCCAGATGAGTCGAAATAAGCATAGCCAAATCTAATTAGGCCAAGTTGATCATGCTCATCTTTAACCTAGCCATGCAAAATTAGCCTATAGAAGGCAAACATTATCGCAACCAATCGATATATGTCGACATCCCCATGAGCTCACAGAAGTCAAGGCTAGAAAGATACTAATTACTCTTTACTGACTCCAAATAAATTAAGGTAGTTTATGTCTAATTTGCTAATTATTATGAATACTAACTTTGACTGACTATTAGTCTGAAGTCGAACTAAAGTACCCTCTATACTGCAATTTCACGTGACATAGCTAGACTAAATATGCATAACTAAGCTAATTGGGCAAACTCCACAATAACTATAAAAATTCTGATTAAGGTTGGTTGGTCAGCATCATCAAACCAAGTGGAATATAGTGAGCTTAAATTAGGCAAAATTTATTTTAAACGCAAATAATTAACGTAATTGAAGTCGGATTCTCATGAGCTCAGAGAATCCAAGCTCAGCAAAATGCTGATTACTCCTGACCAATTCAAGTCTCATTTACTTAAATATAAATCTAATTAGTCTTATCATTATTTATAAATAATACTGAATAATGTGCGTGACATCGAAACCCATCCAAAGCACTCGTGTTTAATGTCGCACAATTATGCAAATCACGCCTCGATCCGCCTAATATAGACATCTGTTGCTGCATAGGACGCTTTTGAGAGTAGAGGTGTTTAATGCAGTGTGATTACACATATTTTATTATTTCGGCTACATCAACTTTGACTTAACTCATTTAAGTGCAACTTGGATTAGCCCGACAAATGCAAGCTGGCCTGACAAAATTTAATTTTGTTCGTTTGGCTCTGTCAGGTTCTGCAATGATCGCTATGGTTGCTTATGCTAATCAACCAGTGTCAATAACAACGCGAGCCGGCGCTTGAACCGGCCCAGTCGCAGCCGCTACGTAAAAGAACGGCGCAGATTCGAATGGAGCAAAGAAAGCGACACCCAGTTGTCGTTTTGGCTATACGCGTGCAGTAACCGTGTCCAACAGAGCGACTTGAGAAGCCAAGTGATAAGACGGGAG